AGAGGCTTTTTTTTTTGACTAAAATTTGTTTGGTTTTTGTTTATTTTTTTTCCCTTGCTGAACGTGTCTGGCAAATGCTTTTCAAGTGAGCTGGCTCTGACTGCTGCGAGTGTCCGAGGGCCTGAAGCGCCGCGCTATTAACGTGCGTTTAGCTGGGTTTCCCAGGAAACGTGCTTTTGCTCACCGTATCCCTGCCCCAAATCACAAGCAAGTAACTGTGCTGATACCGTTTATCAGCTGAAGCAGTGCTGGAAAAGTTTCCGCTCCTTCTTAGTCTTCCTTGCTTGTGTGCACACCCTTCGCGTCGCTCCCTGTGCTGCTGCCCTGGGAGCGCCGCGTGCTTGGTCTGACTGCCTTGGGGCTGGTGGCCGAGGGCAGCAAAAGGCAAGTTGGGGGGGAAGCCTTGGTGGCACGGCTGCTCCAGAACCCTCGGAGCCTTTTTTGACCTGGGTAAGCGAAGAAGCCCAGGTGGTTTTGCTGCCCTGCCGTGCCGCGGGGCTGCTGCCAGGCGGGAGAAGCAGTTGCAAAGTATGAGGAAGAGTCTGGAGCAGGTTGGAGGCAGTTGCTGTCTCCCACCCCTAAATTAACTCTGTAACTCCGGGTTGCCAAGAGCAATTAAACGTTCCGCAGTCCCCTTCTCCTTCCAGCCGGAGCAGCCACCAGCAGGGCTGGGTCCTTTAACACACCTTCATTTTTTTCCCAGGTGAGAGCACAGCTTCCACGGTTCTGTTTGGACAGCGAGCTTTTTGTGGCATGTGAAAATGAGCATTCCCGTATGAGTAATGTGCTGTGACTCACTACTATTGCACGGCTGCTTGTTTTCATTCAAGAACTTTCCCTTAGAGGATTTCTTTCCTAAAATCTGTTGACTTCATAAGACAGAAAAAAAAAAAAAAAAGAAAGTCAAAAACTCTGCGGGTTCGGGCGCTTCTTCGACAGCTGAGCCAGTTCTGCAGGGAAGAGGAGGTAGCTCGGGATGGGAACCACCGATGCCACCCACGCCTGTGAGCTGGGGTCCTTGGGACCCGGAAAGGTGCCTGCAGGTAGGGAAACCTTCCTGTGCCGAGGGGGTTTGCGCGAGCAGGGTCCTCACACCACAACCAGCCTCCGAGAGGTGCTTGCGCCTGGCAGGTTTTTGGTCTGCATTTAATGCTCCTCATCTGTTTGTTCCACTGCAGTGGCTAATTACTTCAGCAGAATAAATAGCAGGTTCTTAAATATATTCAGGAGGGGAGGGAAGGAATATTGAAGGGCTCAGAGAGGAGGAAAAGAGTTATAAAATGTTTTGCCAACTGGCAGAGCAGCAGCTTTTAGGATCAGCCAGGCAGACGCGATCGGCGCTGGCAGAGCTCTGTTCCCATTGTCCTTCAGCGTTCCTGTAGGTGGTATTTTAGGCTGTTGCGATTCTCCGTTGGTGAGGCTTTAGGCTAACTGTCAAACACTAAAACATTGGGATATAGAGGCTCTTCCCCTGGCCTGGGGGCTGTGAGGTACGAAACAGATGATGCTTTTGGGGCGCTTGTGTTAGCCCTCACAGTGATCGGTCCGAGCAGGACGGGACTGCAGGATCTGTCCTGGCAAGTCGATCACATTGCACACGCTTCTTGATGAGCCCCAGCTGTGTAAATCCCTTCCCTGCAGCTCTCCAAGTGCTGGTGTTGCTCGGGTAGGAATTGTAGCTGGATACCAGCTGCAGCTCAGCACAAACATCGCACTCGGTCCGAACACCAAGTGCAGGACGGGAGGCGAGCCGCGAGGGGAGCACAGAGAGCTCCGTGCTGCTCTTCAATGAGCTGCTAGAAACGCTGCCCTGGGATTTCCTCCTGCTGACTGATGGCCGTAGGAGCTGGCTCCTGCCTGCCTGGGGTCTTACAACCCTTTTTGTTTAGGATGCTGGGCAGGGCTGGAGCACAGGGCTTCTGCCCTCGGTGTGCAAAGCAGACCTCGCCCTCCGGGGGTCGTTATTCCCAGCCCCCTGGTCCCCTGCCACATGAGCAAGACCCACGGCCATGGCACATCAAGCTTGAAGGGTTTTGGAGCCAGCTGCCTTTTGGGAGCCGAGCTTATTGATGATCTTTTCCATGAGAAAAATAACACGGTGTGGGTGTGAAAGCTTGGAGGGCAGTTATGTGTTGTGCAGGGCACTTGAGGAACGAGGATCTAGCAGAGCAGATGCGTTTGTGTATTCATAATATTATAAAGTGGTCTGGTAAAGCAAGCTGTAATTAAGTCCTGGATGGTCTGTGGTCATTTTTATTTCTTTTGGGGGAACGCAGAGGAATTTCCTCGCTCTCCTGAGCACAGGCTGCCATACAGCTGCCCTGCCAGCTCCCTATTCAGCCCGCTTCCTGCGATTTTCCAACAAGAGCTTCAGGACTGCATGTGTGTGTTTAACGAGCATTACAAGTAAGATGTCTGGGAGAGATGTGCGCAGCAGGAAGCTGTCTTGGGAAGCAAACTTAGGGACTGATTTTAATCTGCGCGGTATCATGCACCCTGCCTGCGGGAGCGGGGTGCTGCTTTCTGTTGGCTCAGCCCCATACGACCATTGGCATCGATGCTGGCACGTTTGTTATCCCAGGAGGGATAAAAGCCATCTCTGCAGGAGGCTTCTGGAAGAGGGTGCGCTGTGATTAACCGGTGTGCTGTAGCCTGCTCCCGAGGATCGAAATTGGGATGTAATAATTGTGCTCTTTCTAGCTGGGAAAAGTCCTCGTTAGGAGGGCGTTCGTTCTTGCGCTGCTCAGCTGTCGTCCTCCAGCAGGTTCTGGACGTTATGTGAGCGGTAAATAAAAGCTGTTGGGAAGCACACAGACGTGGCCTTTGCTTCCCAGCCGTAACAGCAGGTTTGTGCCAACCTGTCGAGCCGAGGCTTATGCTCAGCGCTGTCACCTCCAGGTGTCCCATTGCACCGGCCCTGGGTGCGCTTCACTCGGCTTTCCTAGCACACCGCTCACTTCTGGGGTGTGAAGCGCCTCCGTGCCACCTTCTCCCGATGTGCTGCTCCATTCCCCCAAGCCGTGAGGCCAGCACTGACCCCATTTTCCCCCGAGCTCCCCGGCTTGGGCACAACCCGAGCGGCCGGGGCTGCGGGCTGGGGAGCCTCCGGCTTCCTGCAGCACTGCCCGAGGTGGAAGGAGGCACATATGCTTCCTGCCTGGAGATGCTTTTGCTTGGAAAAAACCCAACCCGCTGCTTTTTAATTATTTTTTTAGTGTGATTCTTTTTTTTTTTAGTTTTCAGTTTCTTAATCTCTGGGAATTTGTGCATTATCTGCTGTGTAACGCAGCCTGCTGACGCAGCAGCACTTCTGTCAGCGCGTTTTGGTTTCAGGCTTTCTTTGTCATAACATTGACTCCAGGAAGGATTTCTGACACTGGAGAATTTGCAGAGCATCTGTTAGCGTGATAACTGGAAGTTTCATTTTGACTTGGTTTCTGCTGAAGATTGACAGCCCCCAGGATTTTCTGAAGCTGCTTCATCAGGAAAGCTGACAGGAGCGGCGGTGACGCTGCCTCGCGGGATTTCTCTGCCTGAGAATCAGTTGTCACGGCCAGCTTTGTGCTCGGCGCCTCCGGGCTGCTGCCACACGGCTCTGCTGCCGGAGCTGTGCCCTGGGTTTACCTGGGGAGGGGACAGGTTGGGGGGGACAGTTTGCATCACTGGAAGTCCTCTACAGCAGCTGAGGTGTCAGGAGGCAGCCAGGTAACTCAGCCTCCTCCCAGCTGTACCTGCCGTGGCACTAAGAGCTGGGTAAAGGCGAGGTGGCACAGCTCACAGCCAGCCTCCTGCGTGTTGTCTGAGCTGAATTTGGGCAATTTTGCCTCGTTTCCCCTCGTGAGGAGCAGATCTGCTCTCTGGGTTCGCTGTAGGTGGAATGTGTCCCATAGCCTGGGGGCCACGGGCTGCAACGGGATGGGGATTTGGGACCTTTTGGTCCTGCACTGGTGGGTGCTGGGTGCTGGCAGACAGGGGCTGGGCTCTGCTTTGCAGCGGCCGCCACGGGTTTGCTGCCAGCCCATGAACCATGCCCGTAGCCAGACTGGACGTGGCTGCTCGTTAAGGTGGATTTACTTCGGGATGGATTTCTGGCATCGTTGCCGGATGCCTTGCGTGCTCTGGATGGCTGGAGCAATGATAGCCCAGCCTGTCACCGGCAGTAAATCCTGTTTTTTTTTTTCCTCACCTACCCTGAGCAGCCACTTGTAAGTCCTATAAAACAAAGAGGCAAACGAGGGGTGCTAAAGGAGAGCGGGACGGGGCTGTTCCCCCTCTTCCCGCAGCAGCGTGTGCTCCCTGTGAGCCCAGCACCACACGGAGCAGACTCGCTGCCCAAACTGGTTCCTCAGGGGAGGAGCGGCTGCGAGCTGTCCCCGCTCCTGTCCCGCCTGGCTCCCGGAGATCCCGGTCCTGCCCTCAGCCCCATGCCAGAGCCCGGCACCTCCTCACCCCGCAGCTCGGCACTGCCAAACCACGGGCAGCTGCGGGGACACCGCCACCACCACGTCCTGCCGGGGCCTGCAGCACGGTGGTGGCAGGGGGAGGCCGTGGGGAGCGGGGCTGTCGCAGGCTCTCATTCCTGCGGTGGGTTTTCTTTCTTCCTTTTTGCTCTCCCCGGTGCTGTCCGCAGGCAGTGGTGGGGCTGAGAGATGAAGAAGTGGCCTGGGAAAACGCTCCGCGGCCAGAGAGCGGCGTGACGTGTTTGCTTTCCCAGCAGAGGCGAGCCTTGCCCCGCCGATGGTGGTGGTGGTGGTTAGCGTTTGTTTGGGGGAGGAAAGGTGCCGAACCTTCTGTCTGCACGCACCGGCAGCTTGGGCTCGAGCTCATTCCTAAACTGCACAGAGCCCGCTTCAAAGCCCTGCAAAAACCACGGCCCTGACCCGGAGCTCGCTGGTGCAGGGCTCCGTGCAGACCTCTCGTGTAACGTGCACAGCTTGCAGCTGCGTTCCTGGTGCTGGTGGGTTTCGCTCGCTGACCTCGGTGTTGTCTCTCTCCCCAAGCTGTGAAGTGGAATGCCATGGCCAGCTCCTCAGACAGTGAAGATGACAGTTTCATGGCCGTGGATCCCGAAGAAGCTGTGGTCGAAGGGACGATGGAGCAAGATGACGAGCCCCACGCTGAGCTGGAGGTGGAGGAGACCAGGCACAACAGATCAATGTTGGAGCTCCCCGAAGAGGTTTTGGAATATATCCTGTCCTTCCTCTCACCGTACCAGGAGCACAAAACTGCTGCCCTTGTCTGCAAACAGTGGTATCGACTAATCAAAGGTACAGATGGCTGTAGTGAGAATGCGTTTTTTTAATTGTGGGGATGTGGCTTCATGTTCCAGCTGCTCTTTGCTTTGCTTTAGCCTTGCCTTTAGTTTCTCCCTTTTAACTCAGAAATCTGACTTCTGCAAAATGCCTGAAAAGCAGCTGAAGCCTCGCCTTGCTGCTGTGTTGCCGGTAACTCCAGTGCTGCAGAACGGAGCCCCTCAGCTGAGGCAGCTTCCTGCTGTCGGGCTGGGTGTTCTCTTTTGAAATAGGAAAGAGCAAAACCCCAAAACCCCCACGACCGGGCTGCTCGCTTAGTACTTCTTCTGAACGCTGCCCGTACGCTGCTAACGAGCGGCGCTCCTGACCTTGCGTTCAGGCTTCCTCTCCAACACACACAGCAGTGCCCCGCTCCCGGCATCCCATGTCTAATGTGGCTGTAATTGTGCTTTGTTTGCATCTTGCTCAATAATGACATTCCCAAAGCCTGTGCTTTTGGTTGGGAACAAAACCGTGCCCAGTTCTTACAGCTCTGCCGAAGATAAGTGGCAAAGCGTAAACTGCATCTACATTAATAGAGATCTGCATATGCAGATTTCCTGAAAGAGTAGCCCTGAGATACAGATACTTCTCTTTGCCTCTGCGCAGCATTAATTCTGAAGCCTTATGGGGATATTTTAATGCTAGATATATGTGATACGACAGAGCTCTGCTTGTAGCCTTGCGCAAACCCTGCCTGCCTCTTGGCTTCCAGTGCTCCTGCAGACAGCGGCGATTTCTGCTACATCAGGCTGTTGGACACATGAGTTCTGTTTGCAGGCTTCATAAAAACAGGCGCTGTGAGAGACACCCCGGTTAAATCTGTAGGAAATGAGGCAGGCTGCTGCACTTGGGTAACTTGTTTCTTCTGGGAAATGCAGAGCAGGTGTCAGGTGAGAAGGGCTGCGCTTTCTGCCTTTGGCGCTGCGTAGGGCTGGGCAGGTGTGTGGGGTGATGTCTCACTTGTGGACTTCCTTGCACATGTGAGGCATTGCTGAGATTCCAAGGATTCTCTGCCTTGCCCGGAGTTTAACAGGCTGGAGGTTGAACCAAAATGCAGCTCCTTCAGAAGTAAGAATTGCACAATTACTTTTTGGCATAATTTTGGGCCCATGAACACACAGTGCTCCGGTCCTGCCGGCCCAGCAGTCTGCACCTCTGCTGAAAGGTTTTCAAGTGCCCATGGCCTTGAGTTGCTGCTTTCTCACACATGCTTGTTCCTGAAGCAGCCTTAAGAGATGCAAAGGATGCAGCTGGAGTGAGCAAGCAGCCGGTGATTCACCCCAACAGAGACTGTGGGAAACGTCCTGGAGTGTAGGGGAGGGAAGAGCAGCCCAAGGCGCCCCGTGACATCGGCGTGAGCCTGGGCGGCGAGAGGTGCTGGGCAGCCACATCATCTTTGTGGTGGTTACAGTGCAAAGGGAGCGTAATCACCAACGTGTGCTCTGCGAAGCAGAGGTTACTCAAGGTAAATGCTTGATTTGTTTGCTACCGGTCAATTTTTCCTGTTTGTCAGGATACATCTGCTCCAAAATCCTATAGTTCAGGTTACGTTTCCCGTGTGTCTCTTGGGGACCAGCTGCTTGAAGACCCAGGGTTTCATTTTTTAAAGCTTCCTGCTTTGTATCCCTGAGTGTGATTTCTTGCCGGGGGTGTTCCTGGCACAGGGCTTATGGTCAGCAAACTGTCGGGGAAAAATCCCAGCAGGTTCTGGCACCTTGAGTGCAATTGCTGCCAGCGAGGACGGATCCAGCCCCTTCGGTGGCAGGGCACGGCGAGGCTTACACCGGCCCGGGGGCTGGATGCTGGCGTTGGAAGTTCTGTTAACACCCAAGTGCTAGAGGTAAACGGTGTTCAGCTAACCCAGGATCTGCTCTGCACGCTTTCTCAAAACTGATGTTTTGCTGCAAAAGCGTGACGGGCTGCATCCTCTCCCCGCGGCTCTGTGCTTTGAGGCAGCAGGGCTTGTGGGCGCAAGGCGGAGCAGGTGCTGGGGCCACAGAGCATCTGCTGAGCTGCTGCAGTCACAAGGCTTCACCAGCCCCTTTTCTTCCCACGGCAAGCAGGCTCTGGCCCTTCTCTGCACAATCAGACACGCGCTCCGTGCACAGGATTAACCGTGGCTCTGCTGCTGGCCTGCACCACAGGAGCTGGAGCCACCTCCCGTAGGACAGGTCAACACCCTGGCAGGCTAAGAAGGAATATTTTCACCTGACACGTGCTGCCTGGTGTCACTGGCTTCCCCTCTCATAGTTACTGTAGATTACTGTCCAGTAGCTGCAGGCATTCTCTTAAAAGTTCATTATTACGTGCTGTTTGTCCTCAGTGCTCCTTTAAGGCCTGTGTGCTCCTCTGGCAGAAAGGTGTGCTTACATGCAGCATTAATTTGGGTGTGATTAGCCTTGTGTTGCAGCAGAGTGGGCCAAAAACCCCCTTCTGCAAAGACATGTCCCTAATACATGGGATTTGTGCTTAAATACGTGTTTATAGTGACCTGAAGAGTGCTGTGCGTAGCTCCTTGCTGAAACAGTCGTGCTGGCACCTTGGCTTCCCACTGCCTGGCTGCGGCCAGGTGCTGGGCTGTTGGGATGCCAGGTTCAGCCTCTTCTCTCTAGAGCCCTTCCCTGGCAGCAGGTGATGTTTCTGCTGTGCTGACTGCGGGCTCCCTGCCTCCAGCTGAGCCTTCGCTGGTTGTTACTGCTCATGGCAGAGCACCTCGGTCCGCGGAGAGCTGTGTGTTAGCAGCTGCCTCCTGGCAGCGGGGCAGAACCGCAGCCTCACACACACCTATCACACAGGCTTGGCTTCACCAAGCACAGCTGACAAACAGCAAAGGTGTGGTGAGTATGTGGAGTGAGTGCTGATTTCTGCGTTTGCAGAGTCCATGTTCTTTATTCTTTTGAATCCTCTGAATATCCACCAGCGTATTTATAGCCCAAACACAGGGGTTGTTCTGTAATTGCTATCGTGCTGCTACTCACCGCACACCACCGAGTGATAATTTGTCATTTGCTTTGGCTTCTCCAAGCTCGCTGCTTCCTACAAAGGCTGTCAGGCGGCCTATACACACTCTGCTTTATATAGGTGTGTTATGTGCTGGTTTTGGATGTGCTTGTGCAACTGTGCAGACACTGTCTGTTCTTAACATGCCTCAAATTCTGCTGACGTCTCGTCTTTTCTCTAGGTGTGGCCCATCAGTGTTATCACGGCTTTATCAAAGCGGTGCAAGAAGGAAATATTCAGTGGGAGAGTCGCACTTACCCCTACCCAGGAACCCCCATCACTCAACGCTTCTCGCACAGTAAGTAGCTGCCCAGAAAGGCTCTGCTTGCCCCTCGTCAGCTCGGAGTTACCGTGGGAAGCTGTAACGAGGTGTTTGCATTGTGTCATTCGGGGCGGAGTGGTGGCGCACGTGCCTGTTGCTGCAGCAGAGCCTTATCTGCCCGGTGTAACGCGGCAGCTCTGCCAACACAAGCACTTTACACAAGAATAGGGATTCAGTAGCTGTTTGTTGTCCTGGGCTAGAAAGAGGAAATGTTAATGGAGTTAGGAAAAAAAAAATCCCACCCTGTTTTTTGCAAATCTTACATGCAGACTTTACACAGCTCCCCTTCAAGTCTGAGCCCTGTCCCCTTCAAGAGAAACCTCCAGTCCAGTGGCTGTTGTAGCCAGTGAGTTTGCTGACCCACTGCACGTAGGGACGTACGCTGGCCGTTTTATGCAGCACATCATCTCTTAGGCCTGTAAGCAACAGCCTGGAGGAGGCTGAGCGTGGTGTGCTTCAAAACAAAACACAAAGGGCTGCAGATGAGAGGGACTGAGGCAAGCACGCTTGTCGTGGGTGTGATTTGCTGATAGAAGTCAGCAGTTCGGTTGACAACGTTGCTTAATTTATGGCTGAATTTTTGCCCTGCTTCCAAGTTTCTGGAACAGGGAACGGGTTCCCGTTGAGGGAAAGCTACTTAAATAAAACTTATTTGTGGTGCAGTGCCTGTGCCAGGCACCATGTTGAAATATGACAAAAATTCAGTCCTTGTGGCTTTGTCGCTGGGTCAGACCTCTTTGGGAGACGGCTCTTCCGGGGAGCAAACTTTGTGTTTACAAAGGTAAATAAACATGATGTAAGCGGTGCGATTCCAAGAGCAAGCAGTCATAAAATTTTCATATTCCCGAGTAATAATTTATGGAACAACCAACGCACAGAATGTGCAGCCCAAAAAAACCCTAGGGGATGTTCTGGTGGCAGCATTCTGCTCAAGGATTGCAGTGTCCTCCTCAAACTTCAAAAAGGCACCACGTTTCATCACTCGTTTTGAAGTAGCGATGTTAACAAAGTGCTTCCCGATGACGTGCAGATTCACGGGTGTTTTCTCTCGGTTAGCTGGTGGTGGTGTCTGTCCTAACGGGCCTGTTTCTGAGGGGGTATCTCACCTGCACCGTTTCCACCCCAGTGCCTTGGAACAGCTTCCTCGTGCCTGGCGAGCTGTAAGGCTAGCAAAGAATCACCCAAAGAAGGCCCAAATATTATGCCAAGGACTCACTGCAGGTGCTTTCACTTTTTCTGCTGCCCAACAGGGGCTTCCTCTTGCCACTTGCTGCAGCCTGAGTTGTTTCACCAAAGCCACAGCTCTCAGAGCCTCTGATCTCCATTAGCCTCAGTGACACCGTCCTGGCTCCGCTCAGCCCTTGGTCACTACAGAAGCGTTATTAATGCACTTGGTGTGCAGAAAGCTAATCTGGATTAACTTGTTTGCTGGTTTAAAATGAATTATTTTTGAACAGTTCTCCAGATCTGCGGTATCTGCTTTCCCTACAGCAAAGCCGCGCGTGTTTGTGGGTGGATTCCAATATCAGAGCCTGGAGGAAGGTCTGATCAAAGCCGGGCTGGGCTGAGATTCCTTTCAGAGCGAGAGGCTAGGACTGAGGCAACAAATCATTAATCACAATGCAAAGAGGATCTGAAAAACCTGTGATATCAAGTACTAATATGCAGCGAGGCGAGCTAAGAAGGGGAGGTCTGGGAAGGGGGAGTGAGGGAGGGTTCGCAAACCATTTTTTAGGGGTGAGTCGCCAGGTTTCAAGGGAAGACGTCATCTGCCGGGTATGAGTGCTTTGAAGTCAACGGGCAGCGGTAGCATCGAAGGATTGGCCAGGGCTGTCTCTTTTTTTTTCAAGATTTATTAGAAATATCTCAGAAGTGCTAATTTGGAGCCAATATTTAACATGACAAGTGAGAATTTTAAATAGTTAGAGGTCATCGTCTGCTATAAATTCTGAAAAACTTAATTGAAAAACTGTTCGATAAGGAATAACTAATGGGAGTTACCGTTGTTTTATGGGGAGGAAGCATTTGTCAAGGCCTTTGATCATACCACGAGTGTGGCTGATAACAGGCTTTATGGATGGGCTGTAGCTTTTCTAAAGGATTTAACCAGAGCTGCACAACACTATGCAATTATCAGCATTGCTGTTCTTTGGGATTTAAACACAGGCTTGGTGGAAGATGTGCTTCGTGCATAGGTCTCTGAGATGAAGACCAGCGAGGTGTCTGAAGGTGGAAAGTTTGCAGCAGTCATCTAATTGTTGTCTCTAGCCCTAATGTAGAAGCCTACAGAGATCATACCAGAGCAGTGACTCATGCAGTTAAATAACTGGCTGCCCTCGGAAAGTGATGTCAAAAGGTGGAGGAATGCAGAAAAGGAAAGGCAGCAAAGGAATGTCGACCGTTGAGCCAGAAATATTGATCCTTTGATGGAGGAGGTGGTTGTGCAGTGACTAATTGTAACTGAAATGTTTCCGCACGGTCTGGGGAGCATGGTACCAAGGTGATGACTAATTAAAGCAAATTTACCCTGAGAGACGAGGGGAAAAATTGGAAAGATGTTTGTTTTACAGGACGGGCCACTTCCCAACCAGAGCAAGGGGACCGAACAGCTTCTGTTATCTCCCAGCTTTGCTAAATATATCGCTGCCTTCTGACTGTACCGAGTCCCCGGTCTGACTGCAACGGGGAAATTCTAGAGAAGAGGGGGTAGGTGCAGGATTTCTACACACACACACACACACCCCACGCAGAGGTGGAAGGCAGTTGCAGAGCTGAACTTCCCGAGGTCCGGAGCATTCTCATCGTGCCGCAACTTGCGGCGCAGTCGGCGTAAACACGGGTGCCAGCCAGCGGGCCCGGGCCCTTTCATCCTCAGCCCTGCCTCCCGGCGCTGCGCTCGCGCTGCCTCCCGTGCCAAGCGGGCTGGGCACAGCCAGCTTCTCCCTGCGCAACCCAGCGTGCCTGGAAGGATGCTGGCAGCTCGGCAGGGCGCTCCTGGGAGCACCGCTGAACACAAGAACAGGGGCTGTAAGGCTGGGGTCGCATTGGAAGGAGGCGGGGAGCTCTTCTGCACCATCTCGTGGTGCTTCATCTCCTGCCCTGAGCTAAGGAAGCACGGGAGCTCCTTCGGGCTGGTGCCATCAGTAGCTGGTGGGGCCGTGTTGTGGGGCAGTTTTGGAGCCAAGATGGCCTGACAACAGTTAGCAGCAAAGCTGTGGTGCTATTTGCAGCTGGGAGCCATGTAGCAATGGGAGTTCAACAGCCAGCTGACTTCTCCCCTCTCTCTCTGATGGGGAATCTGACCTCTGAACTTGACTCCCATATGTATAGGTTACTTTATTTGATGTACTTGACGTTTAAAAAGTCAATGCCCTCTAATTATCGCAAAGGGCATGTGTTTTGCATTCAGCTTTCCCTTCCCAGTTATAGTCCATTGATCTTTATTTTGGTTGTCTCACACTCTGGGTGAAAAATCTCTGATGCTTTGTTCGTGGCTGTTGTGCAGCACAGAGGGAAAACAGGAATGTGTTCAAAATAAGCTGCCTTTGCAGTCTGTTTGCGTATCGGTGTCTTCAAACATCAGAAATATTTATTCTTTTAATTTCCAGTTACAAAAGCATGCCATCTCTGCAATACTGAAACTCTGGGACGCGCTGAATTTTACTGGAATTTAAGTCCTTAAAAAAGAATTAAAAATCCAGCCCAGGGTTTCAGCTTCTCCTTGCTTTTCACCCAACAAAGAGCTGAAAGCACCACGGATGCACATCTTCCTCCCAGGGTTTGTTCTGCACCCTGAAAGGCTGGTATCAAACCGGAGTTTTCAGTTGTGCGTGCGTTAATTACTTTTTCTCAAACTGATCTGCCTGCCTTGGCTTCAGAAGCTTTGAATGGCTTGCTAAGAAGAAGCAGGAAGGCAAAGTTTAAATTATTTTGGTCTAGGATTAAAATACACGCCGTGCGGACGTCATGGTGCCTGTCTGGCTGGCCGTTTTTTTAAATCCAAATAGAGGAGAGGAATGTTGCCACCTCCCCTCGAAATAATAAATGAGCTGCGCTCTGTGTGAGAGCAGGAGTCGCCAAGGCTTTGGCGTGGGGAGGAGGTGAGGGGCTCTCGACCTGTCACGATGAGGTAGCGATCGGATTTCTAAGGCAACAGTAAGCTTTCAGGAAACGTTGAGCAGATCCCCCCCAGAAGCACGTGTTGCTTTGCACCAGTTGTGAATTGCACGTGCTTCGGGGGTGGCACTGCCTGGTACCCTCACCTTGCTGAGCCGTAGCAGCCTGCGAGGGCTCCTACCGTGCACAAATGGTGCCGGGGCTAGGCTTGGGGAGTGGGTGAGGCCACAGAAATGCTTTTGCTCGTTACTCCTGGTCCTGCTCCTTATTCCTGCCTTGTTATTCCCGGTTCTGCTCCCGGGAGACGTGCTGGGGGGTCGTGCAAACCTCCTCCGCCCGTGTCGGTGCCAAGGCAGGCCAGCTTGCATCCCAATCCAGGTACCTCCTGCAGCCCGCGCAGTTCCTGCGCCACTATTTACATTGCTCAACGTATCCCCCACCCGAAAGGCAGCTCCGCAGGTATTTTGCGTGGCGTAGGTGTGTATTATACAGCTGGGCGAGATGTGGTTTGAGATGAAGCCTTCAGCTGCAGGTAAGGACCCCGTGTGGATGCACACGTGGGGTTGCTGGGTGGTCCCGCACAGCCCTCGCACATCCCCCGGCCCCGCTGCGTGGCCAGCTCCGTGCCCCGGCCTTCCCAGCAAGAGCCAAGGGCGTGAGGGCAGCCGGCTCCTCGGCGGGCTCTTTTCCTCTCCCTGCCCAAGGGAGGCCATCAGCCCCTTGGTTCCCTCCAGCCCCGGTGCTCTCGTAGCGGTTCCGTGGTGGTACGAGCTCCCCCGGAGCAGTCCTGTGTCCTGTCAGCTCAGATAACCCAAATCTATTTTAATTTTATGACTCGTGGAGCTGGTGAACAGCCACGTACAGCAACTGGTGTGGAGACAGAGCAGGAACAGCACAGCTCACACCCTGCCCTGCCTGCGCCTCAGCTTTGGCTTCAGCATGGGGTAATGCTGGCTGCTGGAGCTGCTGCGCTCCTGTGCTGAGCTTACAGACACAGCGAGCTTGAATTTCTCTTTTACATTTCTTTTTTTTCAAATTCCCTTCCCAGCTAGAGCCCTGCCCTCCCCGTGCTGCTGATTTTGCAGCCTGCCTTGTGCTGGTTAGTTACGGAGTCGCGTGGTCCTGTGCGCAGACACCCGCCCTGGAGGGGCTTCTGTGTGCCCCGGTGTGATTCTCCGCATCGTATCCAGGGTCGTACGCTGCCCTGCACCAGGGCTGCCTGCCTCAACTTTGCCTTTTCCTTTTGCTCTTTGCCTCTGTGTGATATATATCTCTTGTCATGGTGAGGGTGATGGTTCCTGCTCCCTCCAAGCCCCAGGTGATTCCCTCATCTGAACACATCCAAGCAGGGGGGTGCCCAGGTCGGAGCACGCTGCATCCCTGGCACAGCAGAGCTTGTGCTGAGGGACCACAGGAAGGATTTAGTGTTTTGGGGACTATCCGTGTTGAGTTTGTGGTGACAGGGGGCTGTTAAATATGCCCTTGGAGATGCTGTGACCAGCAGAGCAGCTCCCTGCAAGGTAGGTCAGGCTTCAGCAGCAAACTTGTCCTTCCTGCCAAAGCTGTGTGCTTTCCTTTCCAGAGCTCTGCAGGAAAAAAGGGAAAACTCTTTGAGAAAACCCAAGAATTGAGATTTTCAGGCTATGTCATGTCAGGGGAGGATTGAATTGCTAAAAGCAGAATGCGGCCGAGGCACGTACCTGCTGCTGTGGCTCCTCTTTTCAGGTCAGAGGATTGGCGGGTGACAACGCCTGTGCCAAAATTGCCCATGGAAATTTAATCCTTGCAGACTTAGCGTCGATGTGCACGTGTCCATCACAGCCACCACCAAAGGACGAGCTCCTTCTCCCTGTGCCACCGTCCTGCCCCGTGCGCTGTGCCCTGGGCCCTGCTCATGAGCGGTGGGGGAGCCCCAAAGAGCCGCGAGCATCCCACGGTGCAGGGCTCAGCCCTGACGGGCAGGGGGGTGCTGTGTGAGGTCGGCGGGGCTGGGGCTGGTTGTGGCAGGAGGGAGACCAGGAACCGGGAAGTGTAATTCAGTGCTTGTCAGAGGTGCCTGAGTGCCACGGGACACAAGCTGGCTCAGCACACCGAATTTTTTTGCTGCTGAGTTCGGCTTTGGGCCAAAAGCTCTCTCTTCCCTTGGTATCTCAGAGGGGTTCTCAAGTGTTGCGTTCCCTCCCCGTTCCCCTTCGTGCTGCCTGATCCTGGCCCCTAAGAAGCAAAGGGGATACTCGTGTGAGATGCCAGTGTTTCAGTGGCACTTGGTTGTGATGAGATAAGGAGAAATGCTGTCAGCTCTGGAAAAAAAGAACAAGCCACCAGGCGTAGGTGTACAGGACTGTCACTTAGGAAAATTTGGCAGCCCTATAAGCAGTGTGAAACAGCTTAGAAAAGGTAAGCGTGCTGAAAGCGCTAATCATAGCTAATCTAATTAACTGTAAGCTTCTAAGGCAGCTTTCTTTGCACTTTCAGGAGCAGGTCTGCTTGAGGGGATAATCGTCTTAGAAGGTTCTTGCTGGAGGTTTGCAGTGGTCGGGGATACTCCTGAGCTGGCCCATGGTTTTGGGGTTGCTGTAGCCTGGTTGCTTTTCTCCTGCCTGAATCCCCGGACTGGGGGGGGAGGAAATCTTGTTCACCCAACCCACGAAGACAGGAGAAGGACGAACTAATGGTGGGTTTCTTTTCCCTAGGCGCGTGTTACTATGACGCCAACCAGTCGATGTACGTGTTCGGGGGCTGCACACAGAGCAGCTGCAACGCTGCCTTCAACGACCTCTGGAGACTCGACCTCAACAGCAAGGAGTGGATCCGGCCCCTGGCATCAGGTGAGGGGCAGCGCCCGGCCGCCTTCCCTAGCCCTTCTCCCGCTGCCCTGCTGCTAAAACCCTCGTCAGATCTTACCTGTAGGACTGCGTGGTCCCAGTCTGTGTTTTCCCACATGTTTTATCATTGAATGGTTTTCAGGTCACATCCTTTTTTGCCAGTCTCTGTGTCCTCTTGCCTGCAGCAGTGTGCTGTGAGGCAGGCTGAGTTGTTTCTGGTTTTCCTCTTTGTCTGGAGAAGGTGTTCAGTGCTGGTTCGTGCCACGTGGGATGAGTGCCACTTAACTGCAGTCACGAGAGGCTGTGCCAGTAAGCGGTGGTGTCCCAAAGCTGAGATTTTTTGAGTGTCTTCGGTAGTTGCCACTTAGGTATTTTGAGGAGTGGATGAGACATGCCTGTGCTGGCTACCCACAGCAACCAGGAAAGCGTGGGAAAACAGGTACGTTCCTGCAGTCCTGCTCTGAGCGGAGCAGGAAAATGCCACAAATGATTTCCCACACTGGCTTTGAACTCCAAATGTCACACACGAGATGCGTGTTTTTCATATATTGCTGAATTTGACTAACATAACTTTGACAAAAGCAGAATTGGGGGAAGCTCGGGGGGGAGGGGGCAGTATAAAACTAGCCATTTTGGCAAAAGCTTTACATTTAACGAAGAGAGGGAAGAACAAAAGGAAAAGGAGCTCAGCACCCATCAGGCATTCCTTGCTGAGTTATCTGCTTGGGTGCAGACTCCCTCTGCCCCTGCTTCATGCGCTGTAAGTATTGTTCCTCCAGTATTGAAGATTACTTAATCATTGTTCCAAGATGTGTTTTCCTGTCTAACATTTTTTGTTACTAAGTTCTGTGAAATTAAGATGTCCTGCATGCTGGTGTTACTTGAGAACTGGTCAGATGTAACTCGAAGTGTTAATGCGCGGCTTGGTGCTTGGTGTTGGTGGGATATACATCTACACAGGCTTTAAACATTTCAGTTTGATCTTTGAGTCTGCACGTCCAGTGTATTACGTCTGCAGGTGAGAACTCAGCAGGCTCGGACTTAAAATGGAGGAAGAAAATAAACCCCAGTGCATGCTTGTGGCAACTGGCTCTTGCTCTTCCTCCTTCCGTGCCGTAGCGCTCGCCTGCTCCTCTCCCTCTGCTCAGGGTGGAGGAGAGGCCATGGGTAGCATAAACAGGATACTGGGCTGTGCAGACCTCTGCTCTGACCCGGGACAACTATTCTTGCAGCCCAGCGAGTTCTTCCGTCGGATTGAATGTGGGGCATGACTCGCACTTAGCGCTTGCACCGCGTTAATGAACCCAGCCGCCGGCACCCAGCTCCGCGTCTCAGTCACTCTGTTGGTATTTCACAAAGTAGAATTCCCACTGCCTTACTAACAAATAGCGCCGTTAAAAGAACAAGTCCTGTGGGAATATGTGTCAGAGTTAAGTCCCATGGGAAGATCCCCCGAGGAAATATTTCTGCATGCTGTCATGAGCGCATGGAGCAAGATCAGATCGCAACTGAAACTTCAGGCAGTCTCACCGAACAGAGAGCGCTCTTGTTCGTCGGTCTGCAGAGAAGATGAGTCACCCGCGCTTGTGCCGGTGGTGGTTTCTTGCACATAGCTCCTTTTTGGTGCCCTAACCAGGGTGTTGGCACCCGCTGCCTGGGAAAGAATAGTGGCTGGAGGGGGCAAAAGCAGAGAGCTTTGAAACTTGGAGTCAGATGTAAATAACGCAGGAGGGATCTTAAAAGGAGAGCTGACGTTGATTGATTAACGCCTGCTCCAGCACGGGGTGTGTGCGAGCTAATTGCTGCTGGAGGTTGAGGAGGAATTCCCACCCCTCTGCTCTGCGCTCTGTGGGGTTTGTCTGTCCCCGGGGTGTGACGGTGGCTTCTCCACCAGGCCACTTCGGGCTCGGAGAGGTGTCATCGTGCACGGTGACCCGTGCCCTTAACCAGGGGGTCCTGGAGCAGGAGCGTGGCACCGGGGCTGTGCTAAAGGCCTTGGACCCTGCCCAGGGCCGTGGGTGCAGTGAGCTGGAGCAGCTTCGTCCCTGCCCCTCTCAGGGCTTTGCCAGGAGAAGGCTTTTTTTGTTGTTGTTGTTCTCCATACCTGCTGTTTTCATTTGGGTTTTCTTACTTGCGGGCATCAGATGAAATGACATCAGAGCTGGGTAATTCATCCCCACCGTGAGCTGCTGCACTGAACCTAGGAGTAAATATTTAGCCTTCAAAGAAATAATTGGCCCATGTTTCTTTAGTCTCGGAGACGGAGGAGGTAGGTAATTGCTTCAAAAAACCCTAATTTTTGAGGTTTCAAAGTGCTTTTTGCTTAGATCTAAAACAATGGCATTGACTTTTTACTTATTAGACCGGAGCAGAACAAGGGAGTGAATGCCCAGCTTTTATGTAGCGCTTCTTGCTGGTGGGGTGTGACGCTTCCCAAAGGCGGGTGGGCAGCAGCATCTCTATTTTAGGAACGTGAGCAGGAATGCCTCTAAACTCCTCTCCCTCAAGCTCTCCTGGCCACTCGGAGTTACTTTGCACCTCCTGCACTCCCACCCGCAAATCCTGCTGGAGCAGGAGGGAGCGTAGGGAGGGATTATGGATGGCCCTTATGTGTGGGAGCCCTGCAGGGGAGTTACCGATGGAGACAGGCACGCAAGGGTGTGCAGAGGCAGCACAGCCCTCGTGTGGTGTGCGTGGATGTGGGGCGAGGCCGTCCGCAGCCCGAGGGCTGTGTGTGTGCTGTGTGTGCCTCTCCAGGGCAAGAAACGTGCAGCAGGGGCTGCCTGGCCACGGAGGAGAGGTCCTCGTGCGCTGTCAGCGCCTGCTGCCGGGATGTAAAATTCGTCATTCCCAGCTGCAGAGGAGTTGAAGCGTGCACAGGAGCTCACAGCGTTTCCTACGCGGGGCAGCAGCACCGGCTCATGCTGATGTGTGAGTGCACAACTGCAGCCACAGCATCCTCCTCGGACCAGGGACCCCCCATGCTGGTGCTGCTCTCTGTGAGTGCTTTCCTCCGGCATCAGGGATGCTTTCTTTGCCTTCGTTTGCATATTTAATCCAGGCTCTTCTTTGATTTTTGGCCCCTCTATTTGCAGAGGCGAACCTGATCGAGGACTGGAGGTGGCTTAAGCTGGAGTTTGTTTATCCAGCTGGAGGCAAGGGTTAGTCTCAACTCCTCTGCAGCTCAAGCCACAGCACGCTGCTCTTGCAGCAAGGGCCCAGGCAGGATGACGTTGGTATCGATAGTCCCCTGGTGCTCCCTGAAAACGAATTCTCATGCAGCTGAAATGGCTGTGGAAGGAACCAGAAATTGCTTAAAAATGGAGACTTCACAGCCCTGGCACAGTGGGGCAGTGCAGGAGCTGTGCTTTGGCACAGGGCTGCTGGCACGTGGAGGTGGCCAACCCAGGGCTCAGCCCCGCGCTGGCAGCAGGGAAGACTTTCCCTGTTCCCTTGCAGGTCTATGAAATGCTCTTCCTTGGGATCCCTTCTGCCTCTGTGCTGTGAGATCCGTGTGGCAGCTCCTGGGAGAGGCTGCCCCAGCCATCAGCACTGACCCAGGCCCTTCAACGTCATCGTCCCCTCGGCGTTTCGTGTTCATGTCATCCTTGGGCTGCTGCGGGTAATTTATAGGCAGGATGGAGACCGTATCCCCAGGCAGCTGTCTTTCTGGCTTGCTCCTGCTATTTCAGACTCCTGAAGCAACCGTGTGTTTCTGCAGCCTGTCTCCCTTCCTGTGGTTGTTGGGTTCTGTTCCTCAGGAGCCCTGCACTTGGCCTCTATCTGCCAGAGCCGTGCACTGAGCACTTTTTTTTAAATCAGGGTCTTGTACTGTGCTTATAAAATAAGGAATGACAACACACAGACCAGGTCTTTGCAGGGAGAGGAGCGCTAGCCAAAATCATGAAGTCTGCATCCTCCCTGCTGGGTCTCCGTTACCACCCTGGGCCGAGCACCGTCCCCTCCTTTGCTGCCATCGTCCCTCCAGCCGCAGGAGAAGGCGAGAAAGCCCCAGGAGTCGCAGTGCCCACCCTCCAGCAACGTGTTTTCCCACTGCTCTGCTATCGCAGCAGCCCCGCAGCCCCGCGGCTCGGCTCTTCCTGTTTGCTGCGCGCAGCCTTGCCATGCAGCAGCCCGCGGCCGCCCTTCCTGCAGGAGGGCAGAGCTTCCCAGCGCTCGTTTCCTGGTGCTTTTGTCTCCGTGCAACGAGGCCGCCTTAGCTTTGGCTGGGGAGATGGGAGCATTTCTCATCTCTCCCAAGATTTCAGATTAAAACAGGCTGGAAGGCGATGCTTGTTGGGTAGATGCTCTGATCTCTCCGTTCATTTTAGGATGTTGGCAGTGCCAGGGAGCAGCGGCCGGTCCGTCCTCCCTGCCTCTTACTGCTCCAGCCCGAGCAAGCAGGCAGCTTCAGCACCAAGTCTGTACTGAAAGCATTTGGGGGAGCCTTAATTTGACACAGCAAGCGTGCAAAAACCTCTCCCACATCTGTTGCTCCAGCCCTGCTCTCTCCCCAAACCCCGCTCCGTACCGCTTCAGCACTGCCGGCTTCTGGCCCGTGTTTCGAGGCAGAGTTTGGAGCTCGGGTTTCCCCTCGTGAGCTGAGGGGAAGGTGCCTTTGATGGTGTTGTGTCAACAGAAGGAGCAGACGAAAGGAGGTAGGAGAGACTGCTGTCACCTGTCCAAGGAGGCTGTATCAGATGTGGTCCCGGTGCGGTGGGAGGCTTCTCTTGGCTGCAGCATGAGAGCCCCAGGAGCCCGCCCGCTGCGTTCAGCGCAAACAGAGCGCCTTGCCCTTGCCGAGGCTGTCCAAAAACCTTGCCCCGAGCAGAAAGCCCTGTTTTTGTAATCTCCTTTTGGAAAAACAGCGGCAAGTTTTCAAAACAGTTGGTGAAGTTTCATAACACCGGTGCTGATACGGGGCGAGCTTCCTTTTTCGGGGCCTCCTGGGGGCTTCGTGGAGCTGAGCCCCCAGGGCTGCGGGACAGTCTGAGGGAGCAGTG